TTTAGAAGTTAAAACTCAAAAACCAGAAATTACTTTTCTACTCGATAAAGAGAATTTTTATCTCTTGAAAATTTATATCTGGTATTATCATAAAAAGAAAAATACAAACATATATTATATTTCAACATATGATAATAATCAAAAATATAAAAATTTACATCAAATGGTTTATCCAAATTACAAAATGATCGATCATATATCAAGAAATGGTCTTGATAATAGAAAATGCAATCTTAGAGAAACAACACCAAGAGAAAATCAATTAAATTATAAATTGCGAAAAAATAATACTTCTGAATATAATAGAATATCTTTTAATAAATCTTTAAATGCCTGGAGATTTATTTGGAATGAAAATAACAAACAAAAAGCAAAAAGTTTTTATATTAATAAAAAAAGAACTAGTGATCAAGCTAAGCAACAATGTATTGATTTTAAACTAAAACATGATAAAAAAACTAAAAATAAAAATGGATAACCTGTAATATATTAAACAAAATTTATTTTATTTGTTAAATTTGTTTCTTTTCAAACTAATTAAAATAAAAGAAAACAAAATTCTAAAATGTGGAATTCTTAGCTTCTAAAATACCAAGAAATTTTAGCGCCAAAATATAATTACCATTGTGTAATAATAAATTGATTTGGTAAATTCATACAAATGATAATTGATTTACTGATTTGATATGATTGTGAATTGATTTATTGATTTGGTAAAATCATACTAATTATCAGAAAAAGAACTTACAGAAAGTTCTAAATTTAAAATTTTGTCTTTTAATCGAAACAAAAAAATTCACACAGATATTTAATAAAGCCAGAAAAGGAACTTACAGAAAAGTTTTAAATTTAAAATTGTCTTTTGATCGAAACAAAAAAATTCACACAGATATCCAATAAAGCCAGAAAAGGAGCTTACAAAAAGTTCTAAATTTAAAAATTTATCTTTTGATCGAAACAAAAAAAATTCACACAGATATCTAATAAAGCCAGAAAAGGAATTTACAGAAAGTTCTAAATTTTATCTTTTGATCAAAACAAAAAAATTCACACAGATATCTAATAAAACCAGAAAAGGAACTTATAGTAAACCAATAAAATCACATTTGATTCATTTTTAAACAAATAGCTTGACAAATCAAACTATAAAAGAAATTGGCAAAACCATGTATTTATTTTAAACCAAATTTAACCATAAAAGGTAAATCCTACATAATTGTTTCGAGAAAGTTCTTTCAATGAAAATTATATTGTTCGAAAAGAAATAAAAGAGCGATCCAATTTTCTTCGTAACGATGTGTTTAATCACTTACAAATCTTCACAAATAAAATTACAAATCAAATCTTTTTAAAAATGTTTCCAAAAATTCTTGTAGTTTTCATTTTTTTCTGTATTATCTTTGGTTTGTTTCTTACAAACCTTTTCGAAGGTGAATACTAATTTGAAATTTACCAATATTTAAACAAAATACTTTTATCAAAAATCTTTTTTTTCATATGTGTGATAGTTATTTATTTTACAACTATCGCATTATATTCATTTTGGTTTTGGGATTCATTAATAAGAAAATTTCCAGAACATTTCATATATTAAACAGAAATAAAACGGTAAATTTTAACCATTTTGAATGTAAAAAACACCTTGGAAATTGCTATAATAAAGAAATTGTTTCGATACTTTCAAATTACTGGTTTCTTCAAATTAAAGAAGAAACAAATATCTACATATTTGACGAGAAAAACTTCGTCAATAAATACGAATGGAAAGATTGTAATTTGAATTCCAGTACAAAGAAACAAATTTATTTCTCCTTTCTCGATAAAGTCTTTCTCAACCGACAAACCAATCGTCTAATATATAACTATGGCGTATCTTAAAAAAATAAGAATTTGGCCGCCTGGATTAAACATTTTCTGGACAAAGAAATTCACTGAAAAATGAATTGAATTTACCTTATTTATATCTCTTTCTTTTCGATACCAATGATTGGCTCGATCATAAATCTTTGCATAATTAGTGGACGAATTTGTATGAATTCTGGATTACTTGAAAACTAAAAAAATAAGAATTTGGCCGGTCAGAATAAAGATTTTCTGAACAAAAAAATTTACAAGAATAACAATGGTTAAATGAATTGAACGAGAAAGAACATTTGGTTTTTTAGCTTTTTTATTAAAACTAACAAATTTGATACAATTCCTCTTCAAAATCGGTGACTCCAAAGAAACGTCGATAAATAATGGGTTTAAATAATCTATTATTATATAAATATTAGATGATTTTTAAACAATTAGAAATCAATTTTTTTTTAAAAATTTATTTTGTTAGAATTATGGGAATCTTGACTTTTATCGAATAGACAAATTTGATACTTTGTTTAAAACAATTCGAGTTCTATCTTGAATTTTACTACTCTTGAAGAAGGAATCTCAATTTTTCCTCTACTTCTACAAATTTTTTAATGTAGAAATCGTTAAATATTTTTTAAATTTTAAAAAACATATTGTTCTACAAAACTTCCATTTGATAGATAACATTAACAAACAAACATTTAAGTTTAATTTAAATAAAGTAGTTCGAAGATAAAATACTTTGTCAATTTTAAAATCAAATAAATTATAAAAAAAATTAAATTATATTTTTATTTGTATGTATATAACTTGAAGATAAATATTAATAAAGCCAGAAAAGAAACTTACAGAAAATTTTAAATTTAAAAATATTTTTCAATCTTTATAAAAATTTATATTTATTCATAAATAATTTTAATTTTTTTTGCTACAATAATGTGTTTCATTATCTAAATTAATTTCACATTTACATTTTTTATCTCCAATAATTTCAATAATATTATCTACTAATTTAATATTTTCATTTTGATCTTTTAAAATAAAATCAGTAATTATAGTTTTTTCTTGAACAATTTTTTCTTGATTTTGTTGAATTAATTGTTTTGATTCTTGATTTAAATATTCATTATAATCTTTTTTATGAAATTTTAATAAATGATTTTTAATATTTGTGTGGGATGTTTTAAATGAATATGATTTATCACAAATATTGCAAATAATTCTTGTTTTAGAAGTATTAATACAAAAATATTTATAAATTCCATCAGTTTTAATATTCATTATTGGTCTTGGTTTGGTCTTGGTCTGGTCTTTTATATATTTTTTTTATGGTCTTGGTCTGGTCTTGGTTTGGTCTTTTATATATTTTTTTTTATGGTCTTTTTATAAAAAATATTTAAAAAAAAAAAACTTTTATTTTAAATTTAAAAATAATATAAATAATCAAAAAAAATCATAATAAAAAAATAATACAAAAAAAAATAAAAAACTATTTTTCGCTATCAGAAACTTCTAAAGTTTCAATTTCTGTTTCTCCACTATTATCATTATTCATATTATTATATTCAAGTAATTCAGTTTTAACTTTTTTCCAATCTTTAGTATGATACATCAAATGTGATTTTAATGTATGTAACCAAAAAACACTTTTACCATCAATTTCAAAAATAAAATCATCTGCCCACGATATTATTCAGCTTTCATTATTATCAATTTTTTTTGCTTCTTTTAATAATTTTTTAGGACCCGAAAAAGTAAAACATTTAATATTTTTAGGTACATTTTCAACAGGATAATTATTATCATCAACAATATAAAATTGCATGAGATTAATATCATATTTTTTTATTTTCAACCCAATATTTAGATAATTTTCATTTACAAATTTAATATTTGGAGCTTCTTTTTGTTTGTAAGATAGAATTCCATCACATAAGGCCATAATTCTATAAAAAAAATTTTTATTATTATATTAAATTTTAAAACGTTCAATTACTAAAATACATACTTTTTATTTTGAAAAGGATATTTGCTCCTATTTTTTTTATTTTTTGTACGCATTTTATATATAATTTAATTTGAAAATTATTTCTATTTATAATTTATTTTATATATAAAAATAAACTTAATTTTTAAACGGTCAATAAAGTTTATTTATATTTTTTATTTATATGTTATATTATATATGTAATATAAAAATATAAAAAAAACATTAATAAATAAATTATATAATAAATTATTCATTTTTTATATCCATATTATCATCA